AAGTGCAGAAGTGGCTACTGAGGTGGCCCTGAAGAAGGGAGAGTGGGCGCTCCGCTGGGGTGGGGGTCTGGGAGGCCGCGCTGGCGGCCAGGTGGAGAGGCTGCGGCCGCTGGCTTGGGGGGGGGCAGGGGGCTGGGAGCCAGGAAACCGGCTGGGCCAGAAAGGGCAGAGTAGGGGTGGCGGGAGCCCCTGGCTGCAGAGCCCCTGGGGTTTAGCCTGGGAGCCGCCCTGCAAATGCGCGGCTCTTAAGTGGCGGGAGTGCGGAGGCCAGTCGGCAAGGCCAGCCGGCGAGTCCTTCTGGCCTGGGTGCAGGATTTCCTCTGGGTGAACGGGGCTCCCTCCCCAGCCCCAGCGGGGGCGCCCCGCCCTCCCCCAGAGGCGGATGGCGTCCAGATGCTGCCACGAGGCGCTGGCCCGGTCTCCGCACGCCGAACCCCAGGGGTCCGCCGCCTCGGGGCGCCCCCAGCATCCCTCTCCGCCTTCTGCCTCTCGGGAGCCGCGGCCGGGCGGAGCTGGCGGGCGCCGTCTCCTCTCCGCGGGGGCGGGCTGCGTGCGGCGGCCCGAACGGGTTAACGGGGAGTAGTGGCGGGTCAGGTTACTCCCCTTTAAAAAGAGGGAAAGGAGGAGCCAGGTCCCGCGGCCGCGGTGGCCGGCTCGCCCTCGTCGTCGCGGGAGGAGGCTCGGAGCCCGCGGGTCGGCGCCGGCCGCAGGCAAGTGGAGCCGGGGTGGGGGCTGCGGGCTGGGGCCCGGCGGTAACCCCGAGACTCCGACGCGCGTGCGAGAACCGACGTGCGCGCCCGCGCCTCTGGCCGCGCCCGATGTAGCCCAGGGCCAGGGGCTGCGGGAGCGCGAGCGCGCTCCTGCCCCAAGTCAGGGTCAAGCCCAAGCCCGGGGGCCCTGGGGTCGGGGCCTCCCCGCTGGACAGGTGGCCGGGCGCCGCGGGGCTGCGCGTGAGGGGCCGGCCGGCGGGGCGGCGCCAGCCCAGGTGCGCAGCGTGGGGGCAGCAAAGGAAGGCAGAGTCAGCCCTGGGGTACTCCTGTGCCCCCCTCAGGCGCAGGGCCCCAGCAGGAGGCCGTTAGCTAGCTGTGACTTTCGCCTCCTTCCACCTCAGCTCTGCCCCAGGAGGAAAGGAGCCGTGGAAGCCCCAGGGGAGGCCGCCTCCCCCTCAGAGACCCCAGGCCCGGCCATGTCTGCCCGCCCCCGCCCGCAGATCAGTCCCCAGCTGAGAAGGTCCCGGGGCACAGCCCGCAGCAGGATGCCCACTCGGCCCAGGCCCAGGGTGGCGGCCAGCTGCGGGGTCCAGCCCCGCCCTGAGCGCCCTCCCTCTCGGCCGGCCGCAGCCCACCGCCGGGGAGAGAGGCAGCCTGGCAGCGGGCTGGAGGGGGGTGGTCCAGGAAAGGCAGGCCATGGACAGGCCGCCGGGCTCCGTGGGGGGCTGTTGGAGGCAGGTGCAGGCGCCCCAGGGCGGACAGGTGCTCCCAGCCCTGGCCTAGGGGCGGGAGTTGGGCCCCACTTGCAGAACTCCGCAGTGGGTCTCCGGCCACCCCGACGGCCACCCCCACGCCGGCCAGGCGCGACAGCAGCCGGGCGTCCCCTCCCCGTCTCTCAAGGGGACACTGCGGTGGGACGGGCGGAGACGGCCCGGCCTGTGGAACCGCCGTGACCGGGACTGCGACTGTGTGACCCCGGGAAGGCCCGTGACCTCTCTGCCTTGGTTTCCGCATCGCTCGATGGTGGTGGTGTTCTGGGGGGCCCCGGGAAGCGCCCCACCGAGCCCCGCGTGCGTGCGCCCCAGCCTCCCTCTGCCCCTTCCCCTCTGAGTGTCCGGCCGAAGAGGCGGGGCGAGGGGCCTTCCCATCTGGCCTCCTGAGGTTCTCACAGGACGGACACTGTCCGGGCTCCCGGAGGAAGCACCCTGGGGCCTGGCCTGGGCCCAGCCTCCGGCAGCTGCGGGCTGAGGACCCAGAAACCTGGGGGAAGGCGGCGGCCGGGGGCCTGGGGCTTACCCTCGCCCCACCCTCTGCTCTTTCAGGGAAGACCCGTGGGTGGCAACTGCACCCCGCGCTGCGCAAGCCCCTTCCCCGGCCAGCACAGCCCTCTGTGTGTGGCTGCACCTCCATGCTGTGCAGGGGCTCACCCAGCCTCAGCTGGTCCCGTCTGGACTTTTCTCCGGACAGAGCGGAGGACGCGGGAGGACAGCCCTGCGAGGCCTCAGGGCGCTGGGCCAGCCGGCGGGAGGTGCAGGGGTCTCCCGGTGAAAGGAGTCACTCCTGCGCCCCTGTTGAGGGGCCGCAGACACGCCCCGCCCCGTCCACAGGGTGCACCCCTGAGCCCCAGCGGGGGCGGTGACACAGGGATTTAGCCCCCCCATGAAGGCTCTGGAATCAGTAGTCCTGAATTGAGATGAATTGGAAGAGACATGGCTTGTCCAGGGCCGCTCTGGGGGCCTGGGGGGTCAGTCTCAGGCCATCACCGCTGCAGGCGGAGTCCAGCTGTCCAGGGAGCGACCCCGGGGCGCAGCAGACCCCGCCTGCCTCCCGCTGCCCCCTCAGCAGTGGGGTTCAGTGGATCCGCCTGTTCTGTCCCCACTGTCTCTGGGGAGTCCTCGCACCCCTGCACCCCTGGCCGGCACCCCAGTTCTACACAAAAACAAATAGATCACTGAGAAGCACCTCATCACCATGACCGCCTGGCTGGGATTGCTTGCTGGGGGCCAAATTGTGAGTGGAGGTCAAGAAAGACGTGGGGGGTTTCGCGGTCGTGGGCAGCTGGGCGGGTCCGGAGCAGGGAGCACGTGAGGGGGCAGCCGCACTGGGCACCGGCCCCATCTGCCCGCCCGTGCTTCCGCCTGCGGTGTCCAGGTGCTCGCTGGGGTGAGGCCTCGGCCCTGGGGCTCGGCCCTGGGGGCCCCGGCTGGCGAGGGAGAGGGGAAGGAGAGGCGCAGGCGCAGAGGGGCAGGGACCTGGGGGTGCAGCGCCCGGAGGCTGAGGAGCCGGAGGAGGTGCCAGGGCTGTGGGGGGCGCTGGCAGCCAGCGTCTGTCCTGCCCACGCCCTGCGAGGCTCCGAGTGGCGGAGTGTCCGGCGCCGACCCTGACGGCAGGCACGTGAGGGCTGGCGGTCAGGGACCACAGGCGAGGGGCCGCTCTGCCGGAGGGGAGCTTTGCGCTGGGCTGGGGCATCGCAGGGTGGGCAGGAGGGGAGGGCCGCAGAGCCCGAGGGGCGAGGAGAAGCCCAGCTGTCAGCTGGGGCCACTGGCGGAGGACAGCCTCAGGTCGGGTTCCAGGCCTTGAGGCTCGTCCGGAGCTGCGGCTTCGTCGTCCCCCGGCGTGCGGGGCTGGAGGCCCGGAGTGAGCCGGAGGGTCCCCCGCGGAGGCGCCGCGGGGGGCCGAGGAGGAGCTCGGCTCCCTGCCCCGCCCCGGCCTCCCCGCGGGGTGTCCGGACGGCCAGGCCGGGCTGTGGCCGGGGCTGGCGGGGGCCCTCCTGGTATCACACGAGGTGGGGGCCGTGGAGCTCGCCCGCGGAGCTGCCCTGTGCCCAGCACAGGGGCCCCTCTTGTGCAGGGCAGCGGGCTGCCCGCTGTGCCGACTTTGAGGACCAGAGGCTCTTTCCGAAAGAGCGCAGATCCCAGCCAGCTGGGCGCGGGCCTGTCCAAAGCAAACAGGAAGAGACCATGGCGGCGGGAGCTCGCTTTGTTTGGAGTCAGGATCAAGCCGGGCTGACGTGTGGGTGCGTCAGGGGCCCCGTCGGGACTGAGGCAGACTGGGTCTGGGGTACGTGGCCCCTGGGTGCCGGCCTCCGGGGCAAGATGGCCTCCCCTGGCTAGTTCCTGCCTGGCGGAGGGAGGTGGGCACCTCGCCCGTCACTCCAGGGCCGCTGCCCCCGTCGCCCGTCCCTGCTGTGCCCTGGCATTCAGCTCCCTGGGCCGCCAGCCCAGGCCTGGGGGGGACGCACGCGGGGGACGTGCAGGAGCGCGCTGCCCATGATCCCGGGCTCCCGGAAGGCCCCGCTCAGGTGACAGGGTCACTCCTGCCCAGTGAATCGTCTGTTGGCTTCCTGGGGGCAAATTCTCTCAGGCCCTGGGGCTGGAGTGGGGTGACAGCTCAGACGGGCGGGGGCGCCGGAGGAGCCCGAGCCGGCCACACTGTCCCCACGGCTCCGGGGCCTGCGTGGGTGGAGGCCCCAGGGGGCTGCAGAGGGCGCTGGCCGAGTCCAGGGCCCTGCTCCCCCAAGCCCTCCTCCGTGTGCACGGCGGCAGGCGAGCGCCGGTGTCCAGCGGCCCTGCCTGGGCCGCAGCGCCGGGCAGAGGGCTGACCCAGGTCACCGCGGGTAGCTCAGACGGGCGCTGTGCGGAGAGAGGCCGGGCCTGCCGGCGGGCGGCGGTGGACGGGCCTGGGTTCCTGGAGCACGAGGGGAGGGTCTGGGGGGCGCGGGGGGCTGTGGGCCGCGAGGGTCAGACGCTGCCCGGGAGGGGGGTCGGTTGGCTCAAGGCCTGCGAGGCCGGCCGGAGGCCGGACAGCGCGGGCAGCACCGCCCTCCCCTGAAGACCGCGGCCCACAGGGACACGGCCTGCCCGGGAGGGGAGGGGCCGCAGGGCAGGACCGCGGCGTGGCGGGGCCGAGGGGCGCTGGCGCGTCTCCTCTGGTCTCGCCGAGCGGGGCGCCCCCAGCCTCAGGTTTGCAAACAGCGACGAGCAACTTCCGTCTTCCTAACCCGCGAGCTAATCATTGAAAACGTTTTGCAGGAGAGGAAGGGCGGCGGGGGGGCTCCCTGCAGCGAGGCTGCATCTGCGGTGCCGGGCCTGGGCCCCGCCCGTGGGCCCCACCCGTGGGCGTGGCTCACGCCGGCCCCTCTGCAG